TTATTTTTTGTTAATCTACTAGTTATGATTTTTCTAGTTTAATTAAATTAATTTTTAAGCTTCTAGCACTGCTTTAGAATGGGAGTGTGCTTTGTTCCGGACTGTAAACATTACAGTTCAAGCATACATTCAAGTTTTTTCGGTTCACAAAAAACTAGGCTGAGAGGAATAGATGGATTTCTCTCATACGGTAAAAGAATGATAATATTCAGTTTTCAAAGATTTAAGTTTTAAATTTATTTATGTACAGGAGAAAAGATGTATTTTCTTGCAGAAAGTCCATTAGCCAAGAAGTTTTTTTTAGGAGGTGAATCGTAAAAAAGATCGATAATTTTGGGGATAATCTTTTAACAGAGCCACTGCCAGTACCTTCAACCGAGCTACTGCCAGGGTCTTCAAAACGAGATCAAGAAGCGACCCGGATAAAACTTGATGTTTCACTCCTAAGTTCCATCATATGCTTCTCAAGATGCTGGGAATTATTTTGTAAGGCAAGAGGTGACTAAATTAACCAAAAAGCTGAAAAAGATATCAACACGGTTCAGCTATGAAATTGTGAAGAAAAATGATGGTCATTTAATAGTGTATACCGGCATTCCAACCAATGAGTTGTTTATGGTTCTTTTTGAACTAATGGACAGCATAAAATTAAAATATTATGCTGTATGGAATGTTCAAATCATTCCTAAAATTAAATTAAAACTTCGTTTTTTGCACTTTAAAATTAACTTAATTTTTGAAAATTAACTTTGACAACGAACTCCATGACACATCACGTTTCTAAACTATTTTAATCCTCTTCAATCATACTTAATAAATATCATCTATATAGTTTAACAATAGAAATAAACAAGGATTTACCAAATGAATCAAATTAAAGTATATTTTTGTAACAAATTGACGTAACTCTCCTGAAGATGCTATGTAAATATAGCGAAACCGGTTGAGAAAACAATAAATAAAATCCATTAATGTGCAAAAAACGAAGTTTTAATTTATACACATAAAATGGAAAGAAAATCACCTAAAAATATTCCTAAAATTGATCAACTACTTATGACATTAATGAAGTTGAGGCTCAATCTCCCACATGAAGATTTGAGTATTAGATTCAGTTGCAGTGCAGCTACAGTGATCAATATTATAATGACGTGGATCTATGCTCTACATGAAGTTGTTTTCAAGAATTTAATGAGAACAATACCATCTAGACAACGGAATTAGACCTGTCTCCCTATTACTTTCAAAAATTTTAAAAATTGCAGGAGAATTTTGGATTGCACCGAAATTTATTCTGCAGTTCCAGTAAGCATGACAAATCAGAAATTGACCTATAGTTCGTACAAACACCGAAACACATGGAAAACCTTTGTCATGAAAAGTCTTATTTTATCACACAAAACACGAAAACGTGTTCGGCAATCTACGCTTCCAGAGTTTGATTAGCTAATCTCGACTTACTTCTTGTAATAAAACAAAAGGCCAAAAATTGAAGAACAATGGAGTCTTTTATCAAACAATTACTTCTTGTGAACCACCAGCAGAAGCCAACATACTTCTAAAAGAATCAGACGCTTTTTGCGTCCCCATCTCAGAACCTAGTCTATCAATTAATGTTTGTTTCAGAAAATAATACATTTCATTTTCAGGGAGACTGCTAAATTTACAATAACTAGATTATATATATTTTGATTTATCATTCTAGAAATGGCGAATTGTGTCTCGACTTGAGCGAACCAAATTTCTAGTTTGTTGACCCAGAAAGGAGATAATTTCACATGTGAAAAATTGTCTATTGAGTTGTCACCAGTAGATTAATCGTCTTGCTGTATTTTAAATAAATGAACGTGAAAAAGATATTAAGTTTTTAAAAATACTGAATTTTGAAACGATACCTTCGGTTCTAATTCCATGACAGAAAAAATAACGTGACTACTCACCAACAGCGTGTATACAAAGAAAAACAGTAGGATGAAAACAAAATAAAAAAATGGTAATCTTGAGCAATTTCTCTAACCAAACGATGGAAGGGCTGACTAATCAGAAGTTCGGTTTTATTCTGGTAGCGACGAATTTCTAGAAAAGTTTCCGTTCCAGGTTTTCTTTTTGCTTTTCTTTGTACCTTTATTTGCAACTTGCTTATGTGGTGCTCTACCTCTCAGAGATTTCAGAGTATCAGAAAATAATTGAAAATAATTCGTATGAAACTTCGTGTTACCAATTTATCGAAGGATTTAGAGAGTACAACAATTATGAATTGGAGAACTTTTGTAATGTCCCAAAACAAATGTGTACATCAATATATAATAATATTTACATAGCTACTATTTACATGGTTACAATTTAATGTTAAGCTTGGCTATGGTACCGCCACTGTACCAAATTTCGTTGAAGTTTTCAAGTATTCTGATTAGTTAACACAACATCATATATTGTGAAATATATATAATAAAAAATATATAATATTATTAACTGCCGATTAAGTCAACATAACGGTAACCTATCACTATGTTAGTGGAGCTGAATAAAAGCTGTTATACACCCAACGACCCGTGCTATTATTATTATTATTGCTGCCGGGCTGAGGAGAGCGGCCCCTCTCGTTAACGCGACCTATAAGATCTATTGTAACTTTAGCCCTCCAAAGGTTTAGGGCAAATGTAGGTCCTTGATGAACCTTAGTATTGTCCTGAGGTCTTGAACCTTTATGTCGGTAGGTAACAGGGGAGTTTTACCGAAAATGTTGTGTCTTAGACGGCCTTTGGCGACGCAATTGCACAGTATATGTTCAGCAGTTTCTGACTCGTCGTTGCATAGTCGACAAGTTTGATCCTCAGCTTGTCCAATGTGGAAGAGGTGGTATTTTAGGGGCGCATGGCCGGTCAGGTAGCCTGAGAGCGTTCTTAGATCCCCTTTGCTGAGGCATAAAACCTCTCTGGTTTTGGTTTGCGACGGAGTTATCATATTCTTCGCTTGTCTGTGACCTGGAAGTTCTTTCCAGCGTAAGGCTATCTTTGAAACCTCCCAGTTGTTGATTATTTGTTTTAGGTGGCTTTTTTGTAGTCCACAACCAGGTTGGGATCCAATGAAGGGCATGTTCGCTGCCTCTTTGACCAGCTTGTCCGCCTCCTCATTGCCCTCAATGTTGCTGTGACCTGGAACCTACCATAGGGTAACATCATTGCCCCTAGCGAGTTCTCTCAGGTTGCTGGTACACTCTCTGATCAGTGCGGAGTCACACGTGTAGGCCTGAATTGCCTTTAAGGCTGCCCGACTGTCTGTGAAAATGTTTATAGATGCACCTTTTTGTCCCTTCTGTAGGTTCAAAGCGGTGCAGAAGTTTATAGCAAGAACTTCTGCTTGGAAAATTGTTATGTCCGAACTGAGGGGCAATTTGATGTGGCTATTTGGTCCACTGATGCCCATGCCTACTCCGGATCTAACTGTCTTTGAAGCATTGGTGTACCAGGCTAGGGCTCCTCTTTTTAGTTGAGGCCCTCCCTTCGCCCAATCATCCCTGCTTCTAAATATGACCTTATACGGCTGGTTGAAATTGTATTCTGTCGGTATAAGGTCCGTTTTAATTTCAATCAGGTAATTTAGACATAGGTCCTTGACGATCTCGAGGTGTCCTCTGATGTTACCCTGCATCAACTTGAGTGAAGAAACTGTTTTCAATGATAAGGCACTTAAGGCTGCCTCCTTTTGTATACGACCCGTGCTAAATTCATTTATTTTATATTAATTCTAGAAATTATTCCCTTTAGATATTTTGCGGATACACGAAAAGCGTTTCGCTCTGTTGGGGAGAATTTTTGAACAACGACTATTGTTACTCCACTGCAACCACTATTATTCCGTAGGGATTGTCTCATCCAGTATTTATTATTGACAGAACGAGAAAAATCAAGTAATCAACTACATCTACCCGGCTCTGCGCTAATCAGGATAATCATCAGTGTAAAAACAATCAAATATCGAATACATTGCCATTAAAGATTTTAGTTATAGAGTCAGAGACTGTCGAACATATACTGTGTGAATGCATCGCCAGAGAAATGCGACGTCTTTGGAAGGCTTAAGTTACAATAATAATACACGTAATACTTAATGTTACATATAGCAAAAATAAGCTGTTCACTACAGAAATGGAAAGCAGTAATTGAAGTTGATGTGAATGCGCTCCTAAATGTGTTTATGTTTTATTTTTAGTTTTGACTAAAGTATTTCTGTAAATATTTATATTGATGTTTCATATTTGGTACTTGTTTGTTTTTATATTTCAAAAAATAATACAATTTTATTCTAAAAAAGTTTGTCATAAACATAAATCTTCCGATTCTTGCTCTCTTATTAAATGACACACATTCCGATTTAAAATCTACTTAAAACGTAGAAATCCTTCAAAATCTCTAGTTCAATTTCATTATTATTTATAAGGTATCCTATTGATTTTCTGAAGTGTACCAATATCAGTACGAAGGTTTCACGGTCGGTGTTAATTAAACTAAAACTAGTACTAACACTTGCACTATCACTAGAACAAATACTAGACCTAGAACTAGAAACTTTCGGGTTAAGCCGTGCGTCTTTTGAAAAAGTATTTGTCCTAATCAAGATCGTACGCGCCACAGCAGAGTCGGTATGGTGCTTCACCTTGAGGAAGGTTGAAATTACTTTCTTCTCTCTACATTTTCGTAGGGGTGGCCAAGTTACTTAATAGCTTGCGTTCTCTAATCCGTAAGTTGTCAAAATCCTTGATTTGTTGTTAATATCCTCCCCATAAAGATTGATAATATAAGCGCACATGAAACGCTGGCTAAGAGGACGAAACTTTATCTCAGATGAAGGTATTGGAAAATTAGTGATACGCTACAACAAATGTCTTAAAATGACCTTGAAAAAGAATAGCCCTCGCATTACCTGCTGATAAAGTCAACATATCGGTAATCAATAATAATTGGAGCTAAATAAAAACTGTTATATACCTAACGACCCACAGTGTTAAAATTCATTTATTTTATATTAATTCTAGAAATTATTCCCTTTAGATATTTTGCGGATACACGAAGAGCGTTTCGTTCCATTGGGGAGAGTTTTTGAACAACGACTTTTGTTACTCCACTACAACCAAGCACGACCGGTAACGAAAGATACACATCCTCTTTTATTCCGTGGTATCCCTAGAAAAGAAAAAGATGAAGGTAAGAAATTGGTAAAAAAGCTACTTGTACCTTCATCAAAATGGACACCGCGTCCACATGAGCAACATTGCTTAGCAGAGCTTTGGTTATTGAAGAAACTGCCATACCTACAGACCAACAAGTATTTCCCTTTAATTTTGTCACTTCATTTGCACCTTCTATAACTTTTTTATGAACCAAACCCCAATGTTCAGGATCTGATTTCGTTCCTATTCTCGGATTTAAATCTATTAAACGAACGCCGGCTACATTTACACCAGACCAAACAGCAACTAATTAGTCAAAAGTAAAGATAGCGTCGATATCAACATAAAAAATAGTAATATTTTTACCACTCGTTCTTCCATGTTCTCCAATAATCCAACCATGACAACTAGCGATTGAGACTCCTATTTTTTTAGATAATAAGAATCGGAACCTTGATGAATCTAAACTAGTTCCTGAACCAATAACTCTTTCTGGTGGTAATCCACTCAATTTCCACGCAATATACGTCATAATATCCACAGGATCAGTGACTATTACTAAAATAGTATCTGGTGACTGTTTTACTAAAGGTGGTATAATGGTTTTCATGAGCTGAACATTTCTATGCATGAAATCTAATTGAGGTTCTCCCCTTCTTGGTTTAACACCAGTAGTTACTATACAAATTTTTGATCCAAATGAGCAATCAAAATCTAGCAAACAATATTTCAGAAAAGAACTGAAAAATTATTAGTAAAATATTCTAATTACCTGTACTTCCCCTGATGTTCACATTAGTTAGAAAACCTGAACCATATTGCAGATCTAAAACTTCTCCATAAAGTCTTTCACTTGATATCGAATCGACTATACAAACATCATTGGAAATACTCTAAAAATAAAACGTGAAAATAACATCAACTATTATTGTTTCTTTCTTAAGGAAAGTCTTACTTGAGAAGCTATACTAAAAGCTGTAGATAGACCAACCATACCAGCTCCAACAATAGTAACTTTATTTTTACTTTGAGGTAAGGGCTCCTTCACAAGTATCACTTTTCCTGGAGAACTTTTCCTCTCCAGTCTTTTTCGTATGATTGTTTTAAAAATCGGGATTTTAAAATAGGGACCAATTTCAGTTATTTTAACAGGATACTTCCATTGGATTCCATCGGCACTAATTCTTTTATGTCTCCAAACAGAAAACCCACCTTTAGGAAAATCGTTGACGAAACGACTACAAACCCTTAAGGTTCTCTTGTGAATTCGATAAGTTTGAAGGTTTCTGTGGTCGCCATTATTCTCATTAGAGCTAAAACATTCCGGATAAAATTTGACTATTTTTTGTTTAAACAAATGGAATCCCATTGATTTGTGAATTAAATGAGCCATTTTTTATAAACACAAAAATGATTGATAATAAGACCAAATTTAAGTTATAAAATATACACAAAATCACCCTACACTTCAAAATCTGACATAATGTAATATGTCACTCAAAATAAGCCTACAGTAAAATTAATGACTCTTCTCAAATTTTTATTCACTATTGGTTTTAGTACAAAATATTAGCAGATTTTGACAATAACGCACGTTATCTAATGTTAACTCCAAATGATGAGGGAAGTGATAAAAAGAGTGGCAAAATTATGTTGGTATACTCAAAAACTCACTTCTTTTAAGTTAATAGATATCTCAACAACCGTAGAATAAACAAAATGTGGTAAAGTTTCTCGTAGTCATTCAAAATGTTTACGTAATAGCAGTATGATTTAAAAAATATTGCGAGTTAAATGGTCCAACCCGATTTTCGAGGTTTTCTAATTCGTCAAAATCTCAACAGGCCGGCATTCTTTCGCACAGTCTTAAAAATTTCTTAGGAATCTGTGTTAAATTTATAATTATCTGAAGGAGCCTTAAGGTATCCTATCATGTAAGATATGATGTACAGCTCTGTTCAGATTTAATGCGAATCGTCCGCTGTTAGCTGCGACATGACGCTGGTACTGAAAGAAGACGGAGACATCTTTTGTTTCTATTCAATTCGATTTCTGAGACTAAAGGAAGTTACCCTCTTCCTTAACCCAGGTAAAACCGTCCCAGTTTGAAGTGGGCCGAAGAATGGATCACCCTTTTTTTAAATGTGTTAATTTTATTTTATTTTAAATCTTTTTTGATACTTTTAAGAACAACAAATACACGACTTTTTATAATATGTTCCTCTAATAAATGATTAATAAATAAAACGTCAGATAAAAATCTCAGTAATATAATTAATATAATATAAAACTTATAAATAAAGCTTTATGAAACTCTCCTTCAAATTTTAAATAGAATTATTCAATATCCTGTTCCTGTGTTCCTGGTCAACGAGAGTCAGGTTTGACTACGAGGCAAGCAATTATTGCACTTCATCAAGAAGGAATAGATAAACGGGAAATTGCCGAACGTGTAGGCTTTTCATTAAGATTTGAAGAAATCTGGAATGTCGGCCTTACAACATCTAGATCAGGCCGAAGACTTATTCTTAATAATGCTCAACGAAGGAGAATTGCTGAATACGTCACCGCCAATCCATTTACAACGTCCACAACTATCAAGGATTTAATTCGATTGAATACATTCGAGTGCTGGAGGATGTTTTAATACCATCAGTAAGAACCTTGTATCCGGAAGGGATCATCACAATTGTCCAAGACATTCACCCGTGTATTCTTCAAGAATTGTTCATGATTGGTTTGACGATCATAATGAGGTTGGGCGAATACCCTGGCCAGCGCGGTCACCTGATCTTAACCCAATCGAAAATCTATGGGCTTTGGTAAAAAAATAGTTTAATAAAAATGCCAACTTTCCGATTCGCAACGTGGATAATCTGAATTGTTTCACGGCAAGGATATATGCGAAAGAGTAGTAAATTCGATGTCCACCAGATTGCAATGTTGCTTAGAGAATAATGGGTATTATACAAAATACTGATAATATTTGATGGTATACTGGACCTTATAAAATTCTCCCCAATTAGATTATTATAATATTTATTATATTTTATACGTATAATAATATATTTTTTGTTATATAGGAGTATTATATTTTATTATATTGATTTTTGATTTTATTATATTAAAATGGCAATGGTTTGCGATATATTTCAATATATAGTTTATGTATGTATAATTTACTATCAATATATAATTTTCATTTCTTATGAGGTTCGACTTATCGTTCCACTGTATTACCAAAGTAATACAGTAATTATTAGTAATTATTTTCATTTACTACAGGAATTGTGTAAAGTAAATGGATTGCTTATACTTATTTATTTTCTTAATTTTTCTTTGTGATTCAGTCATCTTGGCCATAAATCACATCACCCCGCTTGCCTGTTCGGAACTTTTACAACACTACAGAGCAGGTAAAACCTGGATTGAATGCCTCGTGAACATAGGTCATTTCTAGTACAATTTTATGCCTCTACGTGCGGCTTTTTTTCACATTATATCTGAACAGAACTGTACAAGATCCGAAGAATACCTTAGCAAAGGTTGTTACACCCAAGGACAGTACACTACAACCCAAAGCGCTTGTGTATTGTGTTTCGCTAATGTTGTAAAGAATAAGAGAGCGATCCTTTTTACGTTTTGGAACTAATGCTTCTACCCACAGAGTATACAGAGGCCAAACTCCGGCTAATAAAAGTGGCACGCCTATCTATCCTTGTTTAACTAATGAAAACTTCGTGTGGTACTTTTCCCTCACATAAACTGAATCGATGTAGATGGCGGTAGTGTAGTGGATCGATAAATACGAGCGGGAATTTGAATGCTCGTTTGAATATAAATCTCATTACTCTTTAAAATTTTTTTTAATAAGAAGTTTCAAAATATCAAAAATTTTCATCTCAAAACTTGAACAAGTGATGCAGTGATGAGTAAGATGAAAACAGTGATTTTTTTGAACTTGTTATTAAAAAAAAACTAATAAAATATTATTAAATAAAAATGTAAACTTCAGAAGAACAAATCTATGTATATTTATAGACAAATATTTACTTTTAATCGTTTTCATGCTCATGGGGGCGTTTTTGTACAATGGTAAAGCATGTGCTTCAAGGCTAGAGGAAAACCCATGAAAAACTCTAGCATACCATAAGTCAAATAAATTTCTAGACAAATTTAGGAATACAAATTGCAGTTGCAAACAACAGATTTAAGACAGCCAGAATACAAGAATTCTACAAAGCGACTAAAATTAAAAGTATTACAGCGAAAACGAGCAGTAGACAGAATTAATGATAAAATGTTGTTTTACTTATAAAGTAATTATTGTTTTCAAATTAAGAATATTAAGAATATTTCAGCGACCAGAATAAATTATAACATAGCGACCAAGACGAGAATTAAAACAAAGCGAAAAGGAACAACAATATTTCAATGAGTAGAAGAAAGTAACAGAGCGACCAAGACAAGAATTAAAACAAAACAAAAAGGAACCAAATTAAGTCTTGAATGTCATTTGTAGTTAATACTTCTTCAGGCAGACACATTCTGGTGTGCTTAACATATCTCTCAGTGGTTCTAATGTGGTTTTATTTTCATAATTCTTTTTAAGTCTCCGAATCTGTTTCTCTTTGTTCTTTAAAATTCGTCGCAGTGATTTTTCTTTGATTGTTGCACTAGACTGGTTCTTCTTAAATACTGACTCTGTTGTTGTATTTGTAGCGGAGGAAGGAATGGCAGCGTCTTTTGTTATATTTAACTCCTATAAATATACAAAGTGTTATTTTATACACAAATCCGGTCGTTTTTGTTGATAATTTTACAGTGTTCATGATTTTATTTACTTATATATATATTTTTTTGGTTTGTTGCACTTTCGTTGCATCATCAACAAACATATTACATTATTATTATTATTAAATACCCACCTACATTACAAAGTAAAAAAAACTGTTTGAGTAAAAAGTGATAATGTATTAAAAAATAATAATAACCAGCACAGAAATTAATTAATATTTGTTTCTGACAGCTCTCAGTATAATATGGTATCCTATCAATGTTACTGATAAAGTGAAAATAAAAGTAAAACTTACTATGACAGAACCCGTTAAATTATCTTGCTCCAATTCAGGCTGTCTAAGCGATTCACTCATTACAATGTGTGCTTCCTGAATAAAGAAAATGTCATTAGAACTGGAAATATAATTCTAAAAGTAAATGGAAGCAATTAGAAGTAAGAAATTAGAATTTACATTCATGATCACTCTTAAAGGCTTTGCATCTCTTTTTAAGATCAAGGGGGTTTTATTCAACATAAAGCTTCCATTGTAAAATGATTGTTGCAAATTCTCATTCGTCTAGAATATGTGTTTTCTACTGGTACACCAAGACACTCATTCCATGATCGCTGTCTAAAATATCAAAGAAAAAACTTAAATTTATAAATTTACTTATTGATATTTAATGGAAAAGAAAATAATTTAACCACTTCCTCTACCGAACGTCCGCAAATATAGCAATTCCTATCCATTACAACTAAATTCTGCTATAAAACTCTACTAGGCCTTAAAAATAAACTAATTCTAAGATAACGAACTATGGCAATAAACTACATTACATTACATTACATAGAATACATATCGGGTAGGCGGACCAACCAACCTTGCACCGCGACCCTAAGGATCTATTGTACCCCGATAGATATCGTTATCAAATTTCACCGTGCAGTCCAATGCTCTTAACGAACATTAATACCTTGCTCGGCGAAAGGTCATTCAGATCTTTTG